CCCCCCCACTACCTTACTTTCTGTCAAAGTAGTCGCCCCAAGTCTGGCCACTGCGCCCAGCAGCCTGGGCCTGGTCGACGACCACAGGCGTTCTCCGACTCCCCGCCCCGCTGCCGCCCGCACGCCTGTCAGAGGACGAACCGGCGACGAGCGACGCTGACCTCCTCTCCCTGTCCCTGTGCTTTCTGTCCTTTTCCCGCTCCCGCTCCCTCTCCCTCGCAGCCCTCGCAGCCTTGCCGTCCCGGTCCCGGTCCCGGTCTCGATCTCTGTCTCGATCTCTATCTCTGCCCCGTTCTCGATCTCGATCCCTGTCCCTGTCCCTGTCTCTGTCTCTGTCTCTATCTTTGTCCCTCCCCTTCTCCCGGTCTCGCTGCTCCCTTTCCCAATCCCGCGAGTCGCTGCGCCTTCGGGACGACGCCGCCAACACCCCGGTATCGGACGGCGATCGAGTCATCATGGTCACCGTGTGATCGTGACCCCTCTCGACACCGGGGAGCCCGGCTACGGAGTGTCGGTGGTTGTTCGCGGGGGGCGCTAAAGGAGAGGGCGGCGGCGGCGGTCGGACTGGGCTAGCAGTGTTACGCCGGCGGGAGGTGCTGGGTGAGATGGGTGGTCGTACTGTCGCGGAGTGCGGAGGAGGATCGCGAGGATCGCGCCGGGCTGAGCCGTTGCTCTCGTAAGTTCGGAGAGTGGCGGTCTGGCCGTCGCGGTAGTAGTCGCGACCGGTCCTATCCCTTGGATCTCGGTCACGTTCGCTCCGCCTGCGGTCTTCGTCGACGGAATGTCCCGACTGTGATAGCGGCGGCGAGGGAATGCCGGTTGAGGTTGCCGAGGACCTCTCCATTGGCCGGTATCGCGACCGAGGGCTAGATGCACGAGAAATCGGTGGGCGCCGATCGTTGTCGTCGGCAACGCCGGTAATTATTTTGCTCGATATGGCATGTGGCGGCTGGATAGGTTCCATTGCCGTCTTCATGGCTTCGTCGAGCAGCCCCCGGGTTTTGGGATCCGGCTTCGCCGGTAAGAGGCGACGAGAGATTTGTTTCGGTAGCCGCTCTGGCTTGCCATCGAGCAAACTGTCCGCGTTAATGGGGAGTGCGGCAACAACCTTGGCTAGTCGTATTGCTTCCTCATCAGGATACGCCCGGATGGTGAGCGTCATCCATCGCGTCCAGCCGGGTAGAGTAAGTGCTGGAGCTGTCGGCCGGTGTTTGGCTTCTACCGGCACCAGAAAGTATTCGCAGCTCAGCCGCTGAAATAATTCTGCTAATTTTGCAAGCCCCATTGCGGTGCGGTTACGGAAAATGTCTAGCTTGACCATCAGAAAGAAGGCGGGTCATTGAGAGGTCAGGGATGGACAAACCTGTGTAGGGAAAGACTTCGACATCAAGCCTGTGATGGGAGTAGAACGCTGTCATCTTCTCCGGTGTAATTACAATGGTGTTCTGCGGCATGAACTCGGCCATCTATGCCGGTAAGTCACATGCTGGCCTCTCACCATCAGTTGTACAGGGCGTTGACTTACAAGATAGTTGCCGAGACCCTTGACGACTTGCTCCCATCTTTTGGTAGGTAGACTTTGCTGGTCAAACAAGACACCCCATTTAAGGTCAATGGGACTGATTTCGACTGGCGATCTGGGCCTATCAACGACTGTTTCGCTCCAGCGCACGCCCATTTGAGGCTTCGAGGGCGGTCCTCGTTCGCTGGGGGGAGCCGTCGTCATTGGTCGAGGGAATGAAACGCCGGCATTGTTGACAGGAGAAGGAACAGGGGACGGTAGATTGATCGGCCCGATCTGTGGGTGTGATGCAGGCACCCCAGAGGATTGCGGGCTTTGGTTGATATCCTTTACACCTGAGCCTAGATGCCCGAGAGAGCCTCCAATCTGTCCCACTGAAAAGGGTCAGCAAGGACTTGATATGAGAAGGTGAAGAGGGAAGCGGGGTTTCGTACACTCCTCCTTGAGCATCTTTCTTAGTATTTCGGCCAGCACGTCCAGGGACGGGGACGGGGGCAAGGACGGTGCAGGGGATGGTGTTGGGGGCTTGGGAGATGAGCCAGCCCCAGGTGTAGGTCTCTTGACCTCGCCAGGGTTTGCGCTCTCTGGGATTGCCCGCTGGCTCTCGGTTGTCTCAGCTTGCTCTGCCTCGGCTTCCACTTCATCAAACGACTCAACATCCGAATCGGCCTCTTCAATGTCGGTTACATCGTCATCGTCTCCTGGGCGAGCAGTCTGTTGAGGAGACGGCGGGAAGTCAGATGAAGCACTGCCGCCATGGAAAGCGTTCGTAGCCAGGATTGGGCCTGTAGCTGGCCAGGTCCAGTCTGGTGTTTGCAACGCTGCCATGTTTGATGAATACGTTGATCATCAGAAGAAAACGATTGTTGTCGATGTGTTCATGACACCCAGTCCAGCGCTGGCAATAAGACTCAAACCTATGTTGAAAGGGGGGAAGAACCAACCAACGATACAACACCACAATGAAAGTAGAAATCAGATGGTTGGATGTTGGCGGGGTCTGAAAGGCATCGTCGAGAAAGAGATGGGAAGGTGCAAACAACACCAGGACGCATGCCAAAGATATAAGGTTAAGCACTAGCACTCACCCCCCACGCTCAGCCAGCCTCCATACAAAAATGGTGTTGTTAATGTTGCCTTGTTCCATTGAACCTACCTTAGAGACGGCGGCAAAAGTTAAAACATGCTTGAGCCTCAGCATGGTCTGACTTCTCAGTCCATCCGAGGGCAACGGGTATAGCCCTCGATGCACCGGATGCGGACCATTTTCAAAAAATGATCGCCCCTTGGTTCGCCTTGTCCTGCTGTGTTAATCATTGAGCAACCCGTACTACACGTGTGGACCCCGTGGACTAGAAAAGTCCAGAAAGCTCGTCCAATGACTTTCCCCAGACATCTTTACCAAATCGGCTACCGCGTGTCGGCCATATTTGGTGCGAGTCGAGCCGGTCGACCTCCCGAGGCGGATGGCTTACAAGCAGGACGGTGGACGACGACTCTGTGGTAAGCAACGCGCAAACTCTAACCGCGTCAGCCGCTCGGGGGAAATTCATTTGCACGTTCTTGGGGCACGGGGCAGGAAAGGCCAAGCCTCAAACCAGCAAATGGGAATACTCGCGGTGGGATCGATCACTGTCTTTGATTGGTTCCCAGAGAGGCAACCTGAGAAACCATATGTTTGAGGACCCTCCTGCGGTTCTCGCGGCTTCAATACCCGGGCGTAGTCTATGCCCTCCATGGTTCTTTTGTTTGCGATAGCCACACACCATCTTATCGGAAGCCAGGCACACTTTGGGGAGACAGAGCCTCGTCAGTTGTGACGAGCTACTCGGAGCTAGAGGTGAAATAGTAGCCCTTCCCCTTCCTCTTCTTCAACCTCCTACTACCATGGCCAGTCCCGGGCGTAATAATGCCACATATGATTTTGAAACCTATGCCCGGAAACCGTCTACTACCAAACCTGGTCCATGCTAAGGCACCTTAGGTGGTAATGGAATCCTTCCAAGCGTCGGTAACCAACAGGGAATCAACACCGGAATGCAATCATCAGCGGAGCACGGGTACATACATGACACAGAATAGACATTTGCTCCCCGGTCTCAACCAGAAAGGAATCAATACGACTCAAACTCCTGTTTTCTCGCGCTTAGCGGACGAAAATAAGCGGTCTGCAACTTAAAAGGTCGGATCTCGATACGGATGAAGCATACATGCTGCCAAATGCGGAATTGCTGGACGGTCCGACCCGCGCGTGGCCGGCTGCAGCGCGGTCGAGATCGATGGCTGACGAGTCTTAGACCTTTGTATGATTGTATTATCAAATCTGGAAGCTCTATGCCAAGGCAGCCGGGCATATAAGGCGCTTAGTGATACTGCAGTGTCCAGTAAATGCTTCCTTATTCTCATCTGCCCTGGGGGGAATCCCCTGCGTCCAATACGGGGTGGTGTATCTGACGACATGGAGTCGACGACGTGGTCGTCCTCATGGCGAATTGTGGCCATCAGGTGTCAAGTATGCTCAGCCTAACGCTCACAACCCTGCCGAAAAACCCAAAGCAGGAATTCATAGCTAGGTAAGGTTGTATACCCGGCAGGCACCGTGAGGACCGCCAGAGCAAAGGTGAGTTCGAACTTCGGGGATTGATTACTATGCCCTGCGGGCAACCCACAAACCGGGCAAAGACCAACGCCCGGACGACACGAACCAGCTGTATTGCCCCGCGGAGGCGTGTTACGAAGTGTGTTACCCACCCTCCCCAGCAGAATTGACGTTCGTAGTTTGGATCATTGGATGTGGTCCCAAACGTAGCAAAAGAAATTCAAGGCTGAATACCTCGTCGCTGTTTTGCTTTGGGGGCATAGTTCACAATAACCATCAAGTTGATTTCCAACATTGCCGCCCTAGCCGCTCGCTGCCCCCCAAGGTGACCCCCATCCACTCATCTCTGATTGAAAGCCATCATGGTAACCGTCAAGAGTATGTAGCTTGGGGGACTCCAGCTTCCCCTGCCTCACTCCTTACGCTCAGCTGTCGTGGCCAACTGGGAGGAAGGGAGTTGTCTACAGCTCACCAGTACGGTTCAAGAGTGGTCTCAAACCTTCAAGCACCCCGAGTCCATCATCTGTGAGCGGAAATCAGAAAATCTGGATTGCTAGTTTGTTAACTGATTCCTTCTCAGAACGACCCGTATCTAGGTACTAGCATCATTCCCTCCTCCAGGTATCCTCCTTTCTTGGGGATATGCGTGATTCCGATTGTCATCTCAGTCAGAGATGCGAGCGAAGCTACTCAGCAAAAGGGAAACGTCTCTTCTGACAGGTATTGCCCACAGGACTGCGATGTCCCGGTCTAGGCTGGGTGTACAAAGGGCTGGGAAAGCTCATCGGCGGGAGAAACTATCAGCGGGGGAAGGGACCAAGAGTTGAGGGGAAAGATGATGGGGAAAAGTGCTGGGGAAGTTGAGGGGACTTTTGCCGAGACAGTCTCCATGTTGCGGGAGGATCTGCCAATGGCCTTAGGTGGCCAAAGTAAGGGAGATGATGTGTCTCTCTGAAGAGAAGCCGAGAGTTCATTGCTGGTCGGACGGCCGATGCCACGTAATACCATCGTCCGATCCCAGGTCCAGGCCATCGTCATCCTCATCGCCCGCCACAATCGGACGGCCTCCTTTCAGGTAGTCTGGAATCTGAGGCGGCCGCTTTCGTTGACTCTGAGCAAGAGATTAGATCATTAGCGTCTGCTCTCACCGGTGGGCCTGAAGAGTCAGCTTACTGGCTTGGCCCAGCCCTTTCTTCCCAACTCAACAGTCTCCCGGCTGCTCTGTCCCGCGTATGTGTTGCCAGATGCGATTGTAGGCGTCTTTGTCATTCGGACATGCTCACCATCGGGGCCCCAAGCGTTGAAAGAGATGGGCTGTTTTGGGGCCGCCGGGCGTCTTGGAAAGGCATCATTCTCTCCGATGCCGCTCTCAGTGTCGTGAACCGTCGACTTGCCAAAAAGTTTAGTCTGAAAATCATTATCCATGGGCGGGAGGAACCAGTGTGGTGCTCTGCCTGGGCCCGGCCCACGGAGATGCGTGGGTGTGATGCGGTCGAGGGCTGACTCGGCTGGAGCATCGTTCACCGAGTTGCTCTGACTCGGACTATCGGAGCTCTCGCTCTGGAGGTCAGATTGCGCCAGCGTGGAGGTCACGTCAGAAGCGCCGCCATAATCCACGGAGCCAGACTGCAACCTTGTCAGTAATCTGTGCTTCGACGAGACTAGACGACTCGGTACGTTGCGTACCTGGATGACGGCGAAGTCTTCGGCCACGCGGTCGGTGAGACTCAAATTGGCAAAGCGCGTCGGATCGCGAGCCAATCCAAATTCCTGTTCCTCCGGTGAGAGTTGAGAGCCTGGGGGTGGCAGCGTGTCTCCAGGTTCCTGCATGACCTGCCAGGAGGTGCAGTCAACGCACCACTAGCATGCCCTTGAGTGTAAGAAACGGAGCCAACGTTCATGATGTCAAGCTGGGCGACTCACGTTCTTCCCACTGCGCCTTGTACTCTTGCTGAAGAACCGCAGTTCTCTCACTCGATTGCAAGGACCGTTGCATTTCATCTCGAGAGTGTTGGAGGCGTGCTCTTTGCATTGGATACCTGACTTGGCTGGCGACGCATGATTCGTAGCAGCATTTTTGTCATATTTAGCCAACTGTCTCTGCGAGAAGTGGCCTCGCTGCTTCCACTTGCCACAGCTCTGGCACTTGATCATGCCAGCCTCCATTTGTGGCCGGGAGGTTGGTATGGCGTTCTTTTGCGCTACGTTGTTGGTTGGTTGATTTTCAAAACACCGGCTTCAAGTAGTCTTCGACGGTGTCAGCGCATGACAGTTGGGAAAATGGAGGAAGTCACAAACTGCGGAGGGTAGAAATCAAAATCAGCCCGTACTTGGGAAGTGAAGGATCCTTTTGCAGTGGCAAGTGGGTGAGAAGTCTGAAGTGGGAAGGTACGGGAGAGTGCCGAGTGCAAACGGTCCAAGACCAGAGAGCCAGGGGGAGAAGCTCGACAACAAAATCGAAGGCAAAGAACCACCGTCGACGGAAACCAAGTGATGGCGGAACAGTTCGGAATATGACGGTATTTCTTACCACGTCAGGAATTCGTAATAGAGGTAGCTTACTGGAAAAACCCACGGGGCTCCGGCTGGTCAACGCACGCACATACGTTATCTGCCTGTGTTTTTGGACTCAGGGACAGTGAACGACTGCGTTGCAGTGCACAGAAAGATGGGAAGTGAGGTATGGAAACGTGGAACTTGGAATGAAATGGAATGTACACTCACTTTTTATGCCCAGAGTGACTGCCTGATTCCAGCCGCACCTACTGTCGTCGAAGTTGGGTTTGTGGTGCAAGTGCCACCGGTACTAGTAATGGTCTAAAGTACCAGAAACTACCGGTGCCTAGTACATGTAACAAAGGGGGAAAGTGCAGTTGACTCATTGAGTGTCTCAAAGTAGGACGTGACAATAGGATCAAAGGAGAGAATGTGGGCGGTGCATCTGTCAGTCAAGGAAGGTTATTGGTTACCTATTCAACACTCGACGTTCATTGAAGTCGCCGAGAATTCTGGATGTAGCCAGAGATATCCGGAAGCTGTAAGAATCAGTGAGATACAAAACACTCACGGCACCATGCGAGCTTCGCATACATTGGACACTTGCATGGCAGAACACCAGAATAAGATTATTCGAAGCGAGATATACTCCGGAAGTTCGACATAAGCCGACAGAACCGCGGGGCTGGAGAACCAAGGTAGCTCGCTCAAGCGGTACGATCATCCTGGATCTGGAGTGCAAGAAGAGTTGACCCTACGAATATATTTAGGATCCCATAGGTCCGGAACTTTCCCTTCTCAGCCCACCCTTTGAATTCATACATACCTTCTTTCGGCCTGTCTGGGAATTATCTGTGCACAGAGTAAGCCAGAGTCGCTCATGAAGTTGGCCCAGTGCGACGCGGAAGTCCGAGTCAGTCGCAGTGTGGAAGCGAGCATGAGTCGAGAGTACAGCCATCGGCCGGTAGGTCTATACAGCATCATTGGCATTTGGCAAGCGGCAAGCTCGACTTGATCAACTCATTAGGTACCTGGATGATGGATCAGCACGTAGATAGGTATATATCCAGAACTAGCAGGAATCGTCGATGTAGCAGAACATCTTGGCATATAAGGAATGGCTAATGCTGAACTCACCAGACGACCCTCATCATCTCATGAAGCTGAGAGCCAAAGGGACTCACCAAGCTGGATCCCAATCACTAGATAGTCTTGCTCCGTCCCTTATAAATTAGGACAATCGCAATATCTGACTGATCTATTAAGCTAACATATTCAAGTATCTGGGAAGCTTGGTTATGGGCCCAGCTTCAGTCCCGTAGTTTCGATGCGAGTAGTAGAGTCTATGCACAGGCAAATGAGTAACAGCAACACTCGCTTGCCTCTTCTGCCGTGTATGGCTATAGGCTTTAGCAGTATAGGCGGAAAAAACCATGGCATCTTAAACTAGATATCCTACTCTCTTTCAACGGGTGGTAGAGACTCCTGAAACCAGAGGTTGCTACTTTCTGCCTTGCTTGCCTTGTGGCAGATGCCTGGATGCCTTACCTTCCTGAGCAGCTGGGCTCTCTCATATTGCCATTAACTAGCACTTTCATCCGCAATTCGGTGAGGGGCTACTACTAGTAGACACGCCTGAGCCGGCTGAAGGCTGGGAACAGCTTCACGACAGTGCGGCATGAAGTACAGTAAGAATGGAAAGAGTCAGTTCCGTCAAAATCATCATGCACCAAGACAGGCTGATTCCGAGTCCCCAGCGCCGCCTCTCGGCACAACATGCCCAGCAGAAGTATGCTGGCTAAGGTAGGTCTGGTATTGTACGCATAAACGGTCATGAGTGTTGTCTGCTTCAGTCACCATTCCAGAGTTCCGGACATCTACAGGTCGTGAACCCGTTCGCTTCGAGTTCTTCGTTCTATGTCGACTTGTTACGCTGGATGTTTGTGCTGCGTAGTACATACCTGCCGGATATTTTCGCTTGAACGGGTTGCGGGTTACCTAGATCCATGATGCCAGGAAGTCCAGTAAAGATTGCCCGCTTGTGTTGACTCTTTTTCTCTCCGCAAGAGGGCGCCTGACGCCGCTCGGGACACGCGGGACTTCCGGTGTGCTGGGGAAGTTGCTCAAGGTGGTTAGCTTGATGTAACTACGCAATGTGCAAGGGCAAACATCAGTGCGGAAGGATTGACAACCTAAGCTTAGCCCGCCCGAGAGAGTGGTTCCTGGAAAGAAGGCCCATGTTTGCCAAGAGAATGGACCTGGTACAGTACTGTACGTATTGGGATGTACTGCACTATTACCGTTTGGAAGTTTCGCAGTTTCAATACGAGCAAATGATAATAACGGTACCGCAGCGATCCAATAATCACCCCCTTCGCTCCTTTTGAGTTCGTCTGGAAGGTGGATGAAATATGGGTGGCTGGCAAGTGGTACAGTTGCGATGGGCAGCTCCCGCGATGGCATCTTTCTCACTCAGTCGTCGTGCGTTCAGTTGTTCCATAGTTACCTCCGTACGTCCTAGGTAAGAACGTCTTGGTCACTCTGCTATCTCTGGAAGTGGGAGTCCAAAGCAGCAAATGTTGACATCAGGCTATGTATTTGATTGCGTTCCTGTACCCCCTAACGTTACCAAAGAACTGCTGTGCAAAGATTGTGCCTGAACCCTGGGACCGCTCCCACGGGCTTCTGCCGAATTGCCGCTGAGAAGATGGAGAATCGGGCCTTGCCGATCGCAAATTCGAAATGGGAGCTCGAGCTGTATGTATGTCACAACCATCCGTAGCATGTCTTTCCATTGATTGATTATTCCGAAGGTGCTCTCTCATATGTTCAATGAATCGGAATCACACCACGCATCGACGAATTCCCAATAGCATCCCAAGCCAAGTGAGGGGTTCAGGGAGAGGTAGCGCAAGGACAGATACACATTGCACAACCCCATGGTCCTTCATCACGTGTGCTTCCTTCCAGTGATTGTCACTAAGAGTTTAGGAAAAGATGTTCCAAGGATCCGGGCGAAAATTCTTTTATCAACTTGTCAAAGATGAACCTTCATTTACAGGGGACCCATCCGATACAGAGGCGCCGAGCGTACTCCTTCCGAAAACT